ATAAAATGCTAATGGAATACTTTAGTCAGAAAATGTAAATAGACCCAGACCAAAAATATGTTGGTTTGTGTATCATTAAAGTCAAGACCCAGAACGAAAATATGGGAAAAACATTCTGAATTTTGGACTATGTATTTCCCATTTTACCTGCCTACGGCCCCCTTTTTCCTTTTTAAAAAAATAGAGATTGGGAGAAGAAGGGATTCGTCGAGAGTAGAGAGAGAAAGAGACAGAGTTACCTAGGTAAGGAAGGCTAACAAATTTAACACCAAAATTTAACAAATTATCGTGAAACTAAATCCAATTAAATCAACACCTAATTTCAATTAAATAAACTCAACACCAGAAATTAAGAGAGTTAATCAATTTTTGTGTGTGTGCTTTGTGAGAGAGGAGATAGTAAACTCTTTGAGAAATTTTGTTGAACACATGGTGGCCGATCTGGGTTTACGGCTATGAATGGTTGATGGATGTGGCAGCTAGTGCAAAAGAAAAAGGGGGAAGAACAGTCGTAGAGGATGAAAGAGAGAGATACGTCAGGATCGTTCTCTTTCTTCTTGTTCTCATCTTTCTTTGGCAATGGAGAGACCTTGTGGACCTTCTTATACTTATTCTGCTCGACTGTTGTTGGGTGGCTCACTGGATTTACTTTGATTTAGAGTGGCTGTAGAAAGACAGAGGGAGCGAGAGAGAGTGGAGAGTCGTAGCTGGAGAAGGAGGAAACGTGTGAAGAGAGGCGTTATGCGACTGATAATCAGATGAAAAAGGACGTAATGGGGTAAATTACATCTACACCCCGGAACTTTGTCACTAAAACACATAGATCTCCTTAGGTATGAAATATTACATTGACACCCCCTCTTAGTAACAAAATTAAGTGAATTAAGTGGGTTGTTTTTAATTATTTCTATAAAGGTATTTTGAGAATTAAATTCTTAAAATATAATAACATAATCAAAGTTTGACAGTGTTTAAAACGATTTTTAATGGTAGAGATCTATATGTTACATGTGTATAAACTTTGAGGGATGTTAATGTAATATGTTTTAGTGACAAAGTTCAAGTAGTGTTAATGTAATTTACCCTTTTAATTTAATAATCAGTTGTATTAAACGACATTATTTTGATAATTAAAACTAATAAAACGTCATTTTGGTTTAGGCATTTACAACTGGAAAAAAATCAATGCAAAAAGATAAAAAGAATTTAAAAACTTTTACTTTTTTGCCCCGACAATGATTTCATATTGCAAATATACCATTTTAAAACATCGCATCAAGAACCATTGCAAAAAAAAAGTGATTCGAAAATCCTAAATTCTTGTAGTGTTCCCTGGTGGTAGAGTGAACGATTCATTGAACCCAGCAAGGGGTGTCATAACAACGGTAAGATTCTTGGATCCAAGACCTATTTGCTTCTACACATCGAGGTACATTACCTCCGAGGTGCTTTTCGAGTCCACCAGGACCCTTTTAACATCACAGTCCCCTATTTGCAGAGTTATGATCAAGGCATCCTCATGGGAGAGGACTAAGCCTACTAATTCGGTGTTCAAGAAGGTAATGCCTCCTGGATCTGTTTGAGATCTCTTACTTGGCTGATCCCCATCCTTCTCCTCCACATTCCTAGTGAAAGTTACCCTCTTCAGGTTGGACCTCAAGGTATTAGTTGTCGGCCGCTCTAGGGGCAAACATGGATGACGTCGATAATATTACCGCAGACAGTGGTCTAGTCATCAGTGGTACATATCTCTCGCGGCAGGTCCTCCTCAATGTACTCCTTGAGATGTCTCTCTTGGACCAAATTCTCCAAGAAGAACTTGTATACATGGTAGTCCTTGGAAAGTGCCCCACATCCTTGTGATATGAACACCTAGCATTTTTATTTCTGGTGGACGGATCGTCCTGCATTCTTGGCGGCCATTTGAAGAATGACTCCTTCTTAATGTTGTGCAACAACTTGTAGATAAGCTCTTTGAAAACGGTATGGATCCCTCTGAAGGAGCTCCCCGTTGCTGGGACCAGCCCCTTCCTAGAACGGACTCCCTCATTCTCCTTATCCTTTTTCTTTGTGGCTATGTTTTTTCCCTTGTTCCATCCAACTCGTCTTTTATCTGGGAGTACTTGTTGATATGGGCCATCAATTTGCCCATGTCCACTGATGTCCGCTTCGTCAAAGACCTATAAAGATTTGTGTTTTGAGACAAGCCGAGTCTGAAAGATGCTGCTACAATGACCTAAGAACATCCTTCTACTTTATTTACCTCTTTCCAATAGAGAATGACATATTGGCGAAGTGTTTCACCTTTTTTTCCAATGGAGGGTCAACAAGGATCCGACATCCTTGGAGCGTCTGCTCCCTGTGATGAACTGCGTAGAAAATTGTCTGGTTAGCTCCCTTCGGGACCCTATGCTATTTGGCAGAAGGGTCTCGAATCACTTCATGACCATATCGCCTAGGCCCATTGAGAACACACGGCACAACAACCTATGATCTAAGTGATATAAGGACATTATCTACTTGTATTGTCGAAGATGAGCCTCCGAGTCGGAGCATCCATAATAAACTTTAAATCTTGACTCCACAAACTTCTTTGGTATCTCTATGTCCATGATGTTTTTGATTAATGGTGAAAAAATGGCTTCGTCATCTGTGTCCCCATCGGGGGTGGACTTGTCCATCCTCATAGAGTCTAACTTGGACCAAAGGTCTCCCTCATCCTTGTGATTTCTCCTTTCACCATTGCCACGACAGCCCGCATGCCCTCTGGCTCCTCCATTATTCATTAAAAGAGTTGACCCTTCTTTGGACTCCTTCACGCTCCCTTGTCCGGACAGTTTTTGACTCAGGTCGTTGCAAGCCAAAGGTTTGGCCAAGAGGGCTTTTGCTTGATGGGCTGGGACCTTCATTCTGTTGAGAATATTCACGTTATTCTCCTCTATTTAAACAATCCCCCAACCATTCTTCAATGAGATCGACAAGTTGACGGGCCAAGGGGCTGTCTCTTTCACCCCAAAGACTCAGTTCAGTTTGGTGGGTTCTTTCTCTAGAATAGATCAAAAGCTTCTTGTTGATGCTTTAAATGTGATAGTCCATACTCGATTTGAAAGGAGCTAATACGTCTATGTTTCTTTGCTGAGAACCTTTTCCGTTCAAACGCGTATTCACCATGGTCACTATCTCAGGAAAACTTAGTCATTTCCCATTGACGGTGCCAAATTGTGTGCGATGATTCTTGCACAATAAATGAATTGACAAATTTTTGACTTTGTGAACTCGAGTTTACCTGGAAAGTCGAAGGTCCCATAGTAAGTAGGTGTTGAGAAACAGTGACGAAACTCTTTAAGAACGATCAATCGTTGGTGAATGATCGAACTAGGTCCTGTCATTCAAAACGAATGGTTAAAAGAGTGTCAGAGTGTTTTTCAGCGTGACCCATTCGAAGATCAAGTCAGTATGTGAGAGAAGGGTAGGGAAGAACTATTCTATTGCTTGGGTAAGAATTTGCATATGTACTTTTGTTTCGAGTTTGTGAGGGCTATTTATACTTCCATGGAGCTAATCATTGTAGATAGGTGGGTCTTCTGGAAGGAAGAATCCTTATTGCTCCATATGGAAGGTGACCTATGACATACAGTCCTCGGGGAGAGTGCCTTCCTTGTCACGTGGAAAGAAGTTTCTACATTTAATGCTCGAATCCTCAAACATTTAATGCTCGCCTTCCGAGGTTCGTCGAGCAATAAATATGTTGCATCCTTCTGAAAGATCATTTAATATTTCCTTGTGGCCCTTGCGCACTCACAAGGGTACTTTTGTCCATTATTTTTGTACATGGCGCCGAGGTGACGTGTCTAGTGGAAGCCCCTCAGGATGGCATATACGTCGAGGACACTTGTCACTCATAAGGGGATCCGAGAGGACACATGCCGAGGACATGCATCAATACACGGGGTGTCTGGGGTGCTGTTGAGTCAAGGACACGTGCCACTCACAGGAGAGCTCCAAGAGACACAGTTGCACAAAGAACACGTGTCGCTCACAGGGGGATCCAAGGGAACTCACATGGAGGACACATGTCAATCTGTGGTGCGCCCATGTTTATCAAGCCGAGGACACGTGTTGACTCCCTATCAATTCTCAGAAATGTCCCATCAACAACTATTTTTGGTTGTGTTTATATATTGGGCCAATAAGATTTTTTTTTTTGATCATAATTTGAAAGTTCTGGATTAAAAACGATTTGCAATTGGCACTCCAATGTTTTTTTTTTTGTTTTCAGAGCGTGTCTTTAGTTTGTGCAGTTGTTTGTCAAATATGAGGCGATTAATTTTGTTCAAATAATGTCAAAAGTAGGTCAATATCATATCAATTCTCTCCCTACATTATGTAGCAAAGATAATATGTATAATGATTTTTAATTTTTTTAGGAGCTTTTTTAGGGGCCATTACACAGTTGCAAATCTCGGGCTAATGAACTTCAATTTTTTTTTTTTTTTGTAATTTTTTTTCGATTTTATTCAAAGTGGAAGGTTTTTTGGTGGTTTTGACATCAGTGAATTTGATGAGTTTATTTGACACTTTATTACTGCCAATTCTAATTTTGTGTTTGCTAAGTCTTGGTATGGCGTGATGAATGTTTCCTTTAGTTAATGTTCATTTTTTTTAATTATTATTATTTTTTATACAGTACCTTTAGACACGTGCATATCTCTAATAGTTCAATAAAACTATTATTTTAAAATTGTGAATGGAATGAACCGCGTGTCCAACATGCAACAACTTTAGACCATTATTTTCCATTATTATCTTGCTAAACGAACGAACACTATTGGAATGGTGTAAATGGGTTGTGTGCGTAAAAAATTGCAATTCTGTTTCTTATAAAGGTAGGGATTGCTTCTCAAATGGGCAAATGTTGAGGGGAGTAGTTCACTCAACCATTTTTCATCACATAATTACTTAAAGGATGGGATAATTTGATTGACATCTAATAAGGAAGTCTCCAACTGAAGAACCGAACAATGCATAATGTTCGGAAGCTTGAAGGCATTAGACTACCCAAGCAATAAGTCTTATTGGTTCAAGTCCGAGACCCTTCCTCTCCGAAGTGCAGTGGAAGAAGACTTGGAGCAAATCAACCCTTTTTTTTTAGTTCTCTGCCAAAGAAGATCGCGAAACCTATCACTGAAAAACGAAGCATTGTTAAATTTCAAAGAAAACATGAAGGTCTATTCTTTTGGACTTACGATGGGATGGTAAGGCTGCCTGCCTGTCAATTATTTTTCTGTTGGATTTTTGCTCGTCTTTTCCTTTGGAAAGTGATAGAAGTGTAAGAGACCAGAGCCAGAGAGAAAAGGAAGACAGTAGATGTAATGAGAAGCTTCCGGATTCCATTGGGTTGTTGCAACCCGTTGCTACCACTTTCAGTGGTGTTCATGTCCTCTTCTTCAACTGTTAAACGTCAAAACACCAAAAAAAAAAAACCCCATATATGAATATATATATATATATATATATATATATATATATATATATATATATATATATATATATATATATATATATATATATATATATATATATATCAGAACACTGTATGCAGTTTCATTAGAATCCCCAAATACGCAGACATACTTACCCAAGCTAGGCGAGTCATAAACCATTGACGATGGTGGATCGCATAGGAAAAGAACTCCTGAAAAGAACTGCTTGAATTCTGAACCATCATCAATGTCATATGGACCATTAGGATGGTATTCGTACATTTGACGGGTACCAACATTTTCTTCTTGCTCCCACACAAGATTGATACCGCATTCCTTCACCTCAAAACCACCATCCACAACTACTGAAACTTCATCACCGCCTTCCAAGCAATTCCCAATCTTCCAATGGCTTAAACATGTCATATCTTCTTCAGCATCTTTTGTAACACCGAAAAGCAATGGACCATAGATCCATCTCAAACGGTTGGTCTTGTTATTGATTTTTGTCACCAAAGGATGAGGTAAAGAATAAAAAAATTCACTTTGATATAAACCACCATTCCAACCTTCCTCGCTGTCTGGAAACGTATATACAAAGCACACGTTCAGGCCTTGGATCCTAAATTTAGGACGTGAAGGCACAGTAAAAGATATCGAGGATCCCCTACTTTTATGACTGAAACAATCAGGAACCTCTCTTCCAGGAAAAAATACACTTAATATACCACGTTGATGCAATACCTGTGCCACAGAAATCATGATTGTATCTATTTTTTGACATGTCACATACAGAGAGAGAAGAGAAAGAGATAAGGAGGGGGGAGGGGGGAGAGAAAGAGATAGATAGATAACTTGGATGGGGCAGATCATCGTCTAAAATACACATAAGAAGTCATTTTCAAAACGTGGACTAAATCGGGATCAATTCGTTGTACCGATTCTAACCTGAACAAGTTCTTAAGCTTAACTAGGTTGTTGTACTCCAAATATGCAGCTTCCAGTTACTCCCATGTTTTATAGACATATCTGAAATTACCTCGTTTTACACCCCATGAAACACGTGTACGTGTCTCACTCCCATTGGCCCACTTGAACTTCGTGAGTCTTGCAATTTTGATGACTCCTCTCAACAAGATCACTTGGTCTGCTTATATATTTTGGAGTCATTGAAACTTCAAGTCTAGTCTTCTTAGGAATTTAGGATGATATGAAAAAAGTCGATCAATGTAAAAATAGTGTTTAATGAGTTCTCGTCCAACTCAAAAATAGTAGTTATTATCGTGTCTCAAGTATTAAGTCTAATCTCATAAGATAACTTTGATTGATCTAATATTTACAACTTTGAAAAAAAAATAGTAAGTAGGATGACTCTCACTATAACGTAATTAAGCTCATTGAATTTTGTCGGTCATATTTCGAATATACTTAATCATATTTCTACCATCTCCTTTATTATGCGGAGAATTCATGTGCTATGGAGAAAATAATTGTAAATATTTGCTACACATGCCACAAAGAGAGAGAGAGAGAGAGAGAGAGAGAGAGAGAACCTGGATTGGGCGGATCATTTCAAAAAACGTTAATACTGTCGGGGCAACTTCAAAAATCACCTCAAGGTTTGCTAACGTCTCCAAGTTGTGCAAACCCAAAGCATTGATTATTTCTGGATCAAGTCTTTCTATCGGCTCTAATCTGAACAAGCCCTCAATCTCAACTAGGCTGTCACCGAAATTATATTCCAATTTCCGTCCCCGACTCCGTTGTCGAGAAATATCTACCATGTATGTTATTTTCTCCAATGATGGGCAATCCGTGAAATCCAACCTTTCCACATTTGGTAGTTGTTCAAGAAATTGGAGCTGTTTACAATATGAAAAGTTAATGCACTTGAGACTGGTAAGACCTCTGATGCAATTTGGTAGGTTAACAATTGGATTGCGGCTTAGATCTAAGTGCTCCAATGAGGATAGGTTACCAAAGTCTCTGGGAAAAACTTCATCATAAAGTTTGCAGTTTTCAAGACTCAATTTTACCAAAGAGCTTGGTAAAGATGCCCATGAAATTCCCGGATTTGTTCTCAGCTTTGAAATTTCAGAACAGGGAAATGCATGCTGTGATTCAACCTCCTCAGTGACAGGGAGTAATTTGTTTAAATCCATCCCATCAACGTGAAACACTTTCAACGAGTCCATCTCCTTGAATTCTGTCGGCAACTTATTAAGATTTGAACAACCAGAAATAATGAGTGTTTCAAGAAATTTTAGCTCAGTAATGTTCATTGGAAGTCTTTGCAGATTTTCGCAATCTTTTAGATTCAACAATACAAGCCTCTTTGCATTCACAATGGATTCATGAACTTCAAATAAATTTGTACAATCTTCAAGGATTAGTCTCTCGAGATTAGGGAGTGCCAACATGTCTGGAGTTCTGACAAGACTATGAGAGTGACTGAGATCAAGGATTTTCAAAGACTTAAGAAACTGAGAAAAAAACAAAAGGAAAAAAAATGGAAACTTAGTTTATACACACAAATGATTAATTTCCTAAAGAAATAAATGATGAAGAAGAACTAGTACCTTGGTTTCCTTCCAAACTTTTTCCAAGTTGCTATATTGCATGTCAAGAGCCACCAAGCTCTGCAAAGGAAAATTACACGGTATATATTTAAGATTAAACCCATGCCAACATAACCACCTTAGTTCCTTAGGAAATTCTTCATAGCATCCATTGTCATTGAAGTGCACATAGTTGAGTTGGAGCAGTTTCAGTTTGTGCATCCTAGCAAATGTATCATGTTCCAGGTCCACCTCATTAGAATTCCCTTGGCCTGATGACAATGATTTGTCAAAAAGCTCTTCAAAATGGTTTTTTCTTGCCTTATTAGTGGTGGAGATTATTCTAGCTGGCTTATCTCCCTGGAACATATGCATGTCGACAACAAGGCCTTCGATGGTTTTTGTGCCCTGATAATGAAAGCAAGAGGGTGAGAGAGAGAGACAGAGAGAGATAATAAGAAGGAATGCAAATAAAAAATATCACTTGAGGAGAATGTTCCTTACAGTTTTTTCAATCAATACAGCTATGGCATCACGTTGCCACAGTCTGCTACGTTCCGCAGGATTCTTAGGCGACTCTTGGCGGACAATTTCTCTTCCCATATCACGCATCAATTGATGCATGTTTAGCTTGTCACATTCATCAATCGTTAAGATGCATCTATCGACCAAATTTTCAATTCCCACTGTAGTGTAGAAGTCACATTCATCCAATATCAAAGTTGTGTTATTTTTTTCTTTTCCAACGAAAAAACAGGCAATGTGAAGGAATAGATCTTGGTCGTGGTCATCCTGCAAGGAGTCGTAACTAATTTTAAGCTTCTCTAAAATTCGACTTTCAGGAATTGCTTCAAGTTTATCTAATGCACTTTTCCATAGATCAACACTTTTTCCAAATAGAGAAGACCCCAAAACTTGAAGAGCTAATGGAAGACCAGCGCAATAGTGTACTACCCTTTTTGAGAGCTCTTTATAACCTTCAATTGGATGGTCTTGTCCAAATGCATGCAAACTGAAGAGCTTAAGCGATTCATTGTCATTTAACTTTTCCACTGTGTGCACCATATAGCTTTCATGAGACTTTATCAACCACTTGTGCCTGGTAGTTATGATGATTTTACTACCCGGAAAAAACCAGTGTCTGCTTCCAATTAGTGCATTCATTTGTTCCAGTTGATATACATCATCGAAAACAACGAGGACTTTTTTACTGCCTATGGCCTTTTTGATCTTAAGAATTCCTTCATCAATACTCCATATCATCTGTTCTTGTTTTTGATTTAGCACATCTGACAGAAGTTTCTTTTGTAAATGAACTAGACCATAAGATTGTTCTAACATTTCTCTAACTGCAAGATAGCTACTACCTTCAAATCTCTGAAAATTTAAGTTGTAAACAAATTTTGCTATGGTTGTCTTCCCTATTCCCCCTATACCAGAAATCACAACAATGCCAGTATCATTTGACCCATCTTGTAACCACGAACTTATGTTTTTGACCCGAGCATCCATTCCAATTAGGTATGGGCTAACATGCAAGGCTGTCCGATTTATTTTATCTCCAATCACTTTAATAATTTTCTTGATAAACTTTGCTTCGTGCCTAAAAATTGTCACAAAATGGAAAATAAGGTTTAGTGAACTTTGTTGTGACTTGAAGCAAAGAAAAAATTATCATGCATATAGAAAAATATGACTAATCATCATCATTTTAATGAAATATTAATTCTAGACTAAGTAGAAGCTGAAAACAAGACAAAATAAATAGTCAATGCAGTCTTTTACAATTTGAAATATATTGAAAAGGTGATTTTATCTTCTTTAATTTTGATTACTCCTATACTCTTAGAGCATAGAACTTGTTTTACTTTTGTTTAAAAGATGGACTATATCTTTAAAACTGTGTTTGACTCAGCTATGTCATATGAGGCACATGGAATGCCATTTAGATTCCACACTTTATTATTTCGACTTCATTAAAAAAGGTAGATTCCATCATCATTGTCGTTAATGAACTTTTCTACATCCCTATTAAATTCAACAGCATCACCCTTGCTATGTTTTTGTTATTCTTTAAAAGAAGGAACGAATAGTACTTATCGAAAAAAAGAGGAGAAAGAATGAATAGTTCTTATCAAAGAAAAGAAAAGAAAAGAAAAAGAATGAATAGTGATTTCTTGCTAATCGTATATTTTTACTTAATTATGTAAATTTAGGTCAATTAGAAATGTCGGTTTAAAGGTGGGACGCCACATCAGCGGTGGCGCCGCCTGGTGGTGAGTAGTGTCGGTTGGCACAATTGAATTTTTGGGGCCAATTTTTTTTTATAAATGTTATGTTTTAGTGAATACTAGTGTACGGTTTACCTTGATCCCATTGATATGATGAAAAAGATGATTCAAGAAAAAAAAAAAGGGGGATCTCTTAGGGTCAAAAGTAAATAAGAAACTTTTGTTTAATAAAAGATGTTAATCGACAAAAATATCATACTCAATTCGATTCAATTTCCCTTGATTTAGTTTCTTGTTCACTTACCCTCTGCGAATTGTTTTGCATTTACTAATTCTATAAACATTTTTCAAGACATCAGTATTCAAGTTTATTATGAATGACAACATATTTGAAATTTCATTCATTTCTTTTCATTGTTCTTAAGTAGAATTTATTAGGGTTCTTGCTTTTCTATTATAACTATTACTACTTCTACTGCTGCTAGTGCTACCGCTAGCATTATTGTACTTCCATCAATGACAACAACAATAAATTTAGCGTAAAGTTAGTTCGTTTTGAAAGGCTGGACTGCACAAAGTATCATACATCTTGTTATATAGCATTACTAGTTATAACCCGTGCCTGAAAACTCGATAAAATATAAAATTTAAATTCCAAAAAAATCGATCTCACTATATTAAATAATAATTTTTTCTTTCATTTTTTATTGCATAATTCAAAATTTATTTTTACCCATTATTTTTTTACAAATTAACAAAATTTTCTGAAAATATATAATTCAATAAAATTTTCTCAACACG